GAGACTATAACTTGCATTCAGCCAGTTACACTGGATGTCAGCCAAGATATAGCTTCTGAATACCAAAGGACCGACAATGTTAGCGATATGGATGACAGCCTGTGTAGTTTTGAAATCAATGAAATCTATGCATGTTATCCAGAATTACATGAAGATATTCCGGAAGAACTAGATGGATTAGATCGTGCTTTGAAAGATGAAACAAAACAGCAAAATGTAGATGAAGACAGGGCTCACTCCCAGATCCTACCTCCACCTCCTAAAATACAGTTAGTGGAGCAGCCAAACTATAGTGAGGAAGGCAGCTCTTCCAAAATGGGTACAGAGTACAGTCTAGAGGAGGGAGAGAGACTAAGTGAGGCCTCAGAGCCATGCCTGCTGCGCCAGTTGGGAGCAGATGTAAGGGAAAGCGTGCGTAGCCCATCCAAAACTGAGCAGCACATCAGCAAATGTGTCCTTAATCTCAAGATTTCTCAGACCTTATTGCAACAAGCAACAGATTCCCTTTACAGAACAGGGATGAAATTAGACAAATTAGAGACCGTTCAAACCCAACACAAGCTGCTTAAGAAAATCCAAGAAAAGCAGGTTTCTAAGCAGAAGTCCATAGAGAGTTACTTAGATAAAATTGATGATATTCTCAAAAATATCAAGATTCCCTTTTCAGGAGCTAATGCTTTTTTGTGGAAGGCAGTAGGCCCTCCATCAAGGAACTACATACCACCACCCCTGCCACTGCCTGGGGAGTGCAGGGCTTGGGAACTTGACCATTTCCAGGCTATCTCAGAAGCTGTGAAGGAATCCAGGAAAGTTCAGAGTCAGATGATTGAGTGCTTTGAGGAGAAGCGTAAGAATAAAGATGATGACTGCCAGAGTGATTTCAGCTCCAGCATGGTGATGAGCACTGAGGCTCAAGTAGCGCCAGATTATCAGGTAATGTAGAGAGGAGTGTGACTGGCACTGTGGGTGTTCATCATGTTCCTATGTTGTGTACCAGGAGCATAGCACAGGTCTGGATGCTCTTTCAAGAGACACTGGGTATCATATTTGAATGTTTGTGTACTATGCATGTTGTGGATTGAATAGAAAATGATCAGTCTAGTCCTGAGTGCAGTAATGTTCCATTTTTTTCTTTGTTAAAATTGTAGTTTCACTTACGTATATTTAATCTTTCTTTATGGCCACATTCTCCTGACTTGCATTGTTGGGAGTCTTATAATTGATAGTACATGTAGGAAGATCATCTGGGTCATACATTTAAAAAACAGTCTCTAATTTTTGCAGTGGTGTGTGGAAAATCTCTTTAAAACATACACATTTTAAAGGCTGTTTTTGAAAATGTCTGAAAATGCCCATGTGTAAATACATAGGGAGGCTTTAATTATATATACACTAGCATTTCCTGTAAGATATGCACTTTTGCAGCCATTCAGGAGAGAGTCCCATGCTGCCTAACTGATTAGCAGAATATCCACATTTAGCTTGTTGTTTTTTTTTGTTTGTATTGGTGGCACACATTTGCACATGGCTTAGTGCACATAAAATGTATTCCACACATGGATGAAAAAAATCCACACATGGATGGTAAAGATTAGAGAGAACATTGATTTTGCTTTTTGGTTTAAATAGCCTTCTGGCATGCATGATGCTTCACAGCCACTGGGCATGTCTACACTACAGAGTGTTTTTTAGAAAAATGGCGTTTTTTCCGAAAAAACTTCAATTATGTCCACACTGCAATTACATTCTTCCAAAAGAAAATCGAAAGAACAGAGGGGTTTTTCCGACATTGGTAATCCTCATTCTACGAGGAAGAAGCCTTTTTCCGAAAGAGCTCTTTTGGAAAAAGGTATGTGTGGATGGGGAAGAGAGAGTTCTTTCGCAGGAAGAGGAAAGAGGAAAAAGCACTGGTGTCCTGGTGGCCACTCCATCCATAGCAATCACAGCTTAAATGCGAGATAGCATCCGTTCAGTGTGGACGCTATCTTTCGAAAAAGCAGATCGCTTTTTTGATGCGCTTTTGCTGTGTGGACACACTGTTTCGGAAGAAGTTTTTCCAGAAGATCTCTTTTGGAAAAGCTTCTTCCGAAAGAAGCCTGCAGTCTAGACATAGCCACAGTGATCAGACAAGGTCCCTGCAGCTTAGTTTAGATAATCCAGTGACACAGTAGAGAAAACATCTTGTCATAAGGTGGAAAGAGGAATATTGTGAGAGTAAACAGAGAGGTAGAGGCATTGTTTGGATAGCAGACATCTGAAATGTTGTGTCATGGGAACTTGTAGGTGTTGTTGAATGCTGAAAGAATGATTTAACATGTTTACTATGAAAGTTCTGGATTATTAGTTAAAAAATGGGTTTGAAGAAGGGATATCAGCCAACAGTGTGACACTAGTGCAAAAGAGCAAA